GCTTGGAACTTTGCCAAGAGTTGCTCACCTATTGGCAAAATCACACTCACAGTTTGAGTCAGTATGAGTCCCCACATCCACACTCCTGTATAAGTCTGCTTCAGAGCTGTTGCATTCACAATGATTCTGCATGGGGCCAGCCCAAGACTACTTCATTATGTCTCGCAGTTAGATACACAGAGTATTTACTTATCAAAGTACACAGCATTTAATTATAAACAATTTCACTTTCCTTTCTCCTTCATCTCATAGTTAAGATGTTATTTTTATTTTATTTTAAATTAAATGTGAAGACAGGCTATGTTTTTTATGACTTAATTTCAGGAGAGTAAAGAGGCAATGTTAATATTTGCTATCCCAAGGGGACGCTTGCTATCCCAATATGAAATTAGGCAGAGAACCCCAATTTGAGCACAGCGCCACAATGCCCCATCGAGCAGGGGAAAGAACTAGGGGTCTTCTCTACTGAATCCTCATATACACACACAAGTGTGTGTTTGTGCTTCTGTGTGTATGGCCTTTATATTTTTTCACACCAATGGGATCATATTTAACATATTATTCTACAAATTGTTTATTCACTTAAAAATATATCTTGGACATTTATTCATGGCAGCACAGATAGCTCTACTTCATTCTTTTTAATAGCTGCATATTATTTCATTGTGTGAAGGAGCTATAATTTATTTAACCAGCTCCTACTGATAGACACTGTGTTGTTTCCATTTGTTTGCCATTATAAATAATTCTGTAATTAATAGACAGATATAGGTATCAGTGTGCATCTGTGCAAATAGATCTGTGAGATAAAGTCCTAAACGTGCATATAAAAAGGTTAGAGAGTAGGTATGTGCATTTATAATATCGATAGATTTTGCCAAATTTCCCTCTAAAAAAGATTGCATTGATTTATATACCTTATAACAGTATATAAAAATATCTTTTTCTCATACCCTCTCCAACACTGAACCTCAAGAAACAATTCAATTGTTTTCTAAAGTGTCTCATGATTGTTTTAACTTTTAGTTGTAAAATTATGAGTCAGATGTATGCCTTTTCATATGCTGTTGGACATCTGCATTTTTTCTGATGGATTTCCTATTTATATTCTTTAACCTGTTTTCTTTCTACTGATTTTTTTCTTATTCATTTTCAAAAGCTCTTTATATATCAAGGAAATTAGCTTTTTGTTATCTATGTTCCACTTGTTTTCCCCCAATTTTGTTCTTTCTCTTTTGGGTTTTTTTCCATACATGCAAAAGACTTACATTTAAACAATCATTTATATTACTTTTGTTTTTTATATTTGAAACAGATTTTAAAAGGCCTTCTCCACTCTATGATTAGAAAAAAATATCCCACTCAAGAGTGCGAGCTCTGAGCAACAGGGTTGCTGGTTCAATTCCCAGCCCGAACTGAGCTGCTGCAGAGCTACCAACAGGTGGCAGGATGGCTCCGCTAAAAAATAAATAAATAAAAATTTCCCTCTTGTTTTTTTTTCCCCCTAGTTTTATTATGGTGTTATTTATTTATTTACTTATTTACATTTAAAGTTTTGATCAACCTGGAATTAATTTTGATATAAAGGGTGAGATATGGATTCAAGAGGCCCAATTACCCCAACATCATTAGCTGAATGATTTATTTTTTTCTCCACTGATTTGAAATGCTGCATTTGTAAATGTCCATATATATTTGGATCTATTTCTGGACTCTTTATGCTATTCCATTTGTCTACTTACTTCAGTTTCAGTAATAAATGGTTTTCATTGTTGTAGCTTTTTCATAGTGTTTTTAAATATGCTGTTTTACTCATTTCTCTATTTCAGAATTTTTCTAGTTATCCTTGAGTGTTTATTTATCCAGTATTTAGTGTCATTTTGACAAGTTCAAAAAAAAAAAACTCTTTTGATATTTTGATTGGAGTTGCTTTGAATTAATAGATTACTTAAGGGAAACGGACATCTTCATGATATTGAGTCTTCCTACTTAAGAACAAACTATAGCTCTCCATTTATTCTTTTATGTTCCTCAGTAGAGTTTTAAAGCTAAATTTATTCCTCAGCATTTTATCTTTTTTTAAATTTTTTTTTTGGTGCTATTGTTAATGTTTTATTCTAGTATGTTTTCTAGCTAACTATTTATTTATGAGAAAGCTAATGATTACATTTATAATATATAAATTATATAAATATTACTATTTATAATATTCAGATTTATAATTAGAGTACTCTAAATTTCAAAACTAAGCATAATTCTTACTTTGGTCTGTAATATTTTTATTCTTTTTCTGCTCTATAATGTGACTTTAAAATGGATACATCAAATACAAATGATTCTTTGGCTAAGGGTTGACCTGAAAACCCAGCCCACGCCTAGACCTGAAACCTGGGCTTACCAAAGCCTCCTACAGACCCCTGGATGGCTAAACCACCCAGTGGCTTTTAACATCAACTTTCTAGATCAGGGTGTTCAATTCAAATTCCTTTCCAGGCAGGCTTGTGAGAGAAACCAGAGCCGCTGGGTGGGGGCCTGTCTTGAGGGGTTACTGCCACTGAGCCTCTGCCTACCACGACCACATGAGACTATGGCCCGGTGTGGCCAGATCTGATTTTTCAAGGGAAGCCAGAAATTCAGATTTTAACTTTTTAAATGTTGACTCAAATTTGTAAAAAGTCCTATGTGGGCCTGACGAATGGTATCTGTGGGCTAGCTGGCCACCAGCTTACCACTTCGGTAGACACGAGTCTCATTTACTGGCTTCTTTTTCATATAGATTGGCTTGTGCATGGATGGTGGGATAGGATGTCTTCTTGTGATCTACCTAAAGCCAAGCTTCCCAGCAGCCCCAGTCCTGACAACAAACCCTTCCTCTGTAGAACAGTCCCCTTGGGGATCTCATTTGATCCTCAGAGGGCCCTGAGAGACCAGAACCATTTTACAGATGGAGAAACCAAGGCTCAGAGATGCATGCAAAGCCAGACAGCAAGGAAGTGAGGGTGTCAGGATGAAACCCCAGATTACCTGTGTGGCAGAGTGGGTGGCTATTCAGGCTCTGGTTTTCATTTTAACTCCGCTGCTCACTTGTTGTGAACATAATTGCCCCAGGCCTCAGTTTCTTTGTTTATGAAATGGGCATGAACATAATAGTACCCGCCTCCCAGTGTTCCTCTGAGGGCAAAATGAGCTCACCTAGCAGAGTACCTGGTACTCAGTAACTGCTCCATAAAGTGAAAGTTACTATTTATTATTAACTAGTCCAGGATCCTTTCCGCTCTACCACGCCCACCTCCCTAATTATTTGTACCCCCTTGAGAAGAATAAGAACTGAGGTCTAAGGATTGAGGGCCAGCTCCAACTCTCCTCCTTAACCCTTTCATTGTCCCTCCCTGAGACTTGGTTTCTGCATCTGTAAAATGGGGGTCCTGTCAGAGGTCTTGTCACGGACGCTCGTGACACCAGAGGAGAAGACCTCGTATCGCTCTGACTGAGGCTCCCCACACCCTCATCCCTGCCCCATTGTTGACATCTTCCCACCTGCAGTCTCAGCTGCCCTCCAGGCTCTTGCCCTGTCTCAGGTGGACAGGGGACCAAGTCACTCTTATCACTTGATTGACCCTCACGTGGTGCCCAGATCTGCAAACCGGGCCCCAGCTGCTTCTTCCTGAGTCCCATAAGCCCCAGGGCTAGCAGCACTGTTACCCAGGGTCTCAGAGCTAGGCCTTCCCTGCCTTAAGACCTTGTCTCCTCCAGCCCTCTCCCCTAAAGTTTTAACCCAAGGCCAACCTCCAGCTTCCCTAATGTAACCACAGTCTACCTGCATTTCTAAGAACGCTTATCTCTGTCACGGCTTACCATGTCCTGCCTACCAGCCTACAGGGACACCCTGCTACCTCAGGCTGGACCCAAAGGCTCTGGCCCAAGTGCTGCCCTCAGCCTCCCACTGTCTGTCTGTACAGTATCCCAGACGGCCTCCTGCCTGCCAGGTTGAACAACCTCCCAGAGCTAGCGGCTGAGTGTGTCCCAGGGTTTCTGGAGCAGTGAGGTGTGTTTGTCGGGGTCCTTCCAGTCCACCCGCTTCTGCAGCAGTAAGCACTGGGGTGACCAGCCACCATGAGCGGGCTCTCAGAAATAGGAACAGTGACATGCACTGGGTGCTTGCTGGATGCTAGACAAGAGTCTAAGCATTACATGCATTAACACGTTAATCCTCACAACAACAGTAGGCGCTATTCCCATTTTGGAGATTAAAAAAGCCACAGACCATAATTCTTATATAATTTACTGGAGATTACACAGCGAGTCAATGGCAAGCCCGAACTCTACATCTGTACCCTGACAGCTAAGGAAGCTGGCCCTGGGCCTTCCAGAAAGGCAGCTGTTTCGCATATACCAAGCACCTTCCAGCCTAAAGCTCCTGCCCTTCTTGACTCAGCCTCTGCCAGGAAATCGGAAATGCTAACAATAATCTACCAGGAGGCCCACTCATCCTTGAGGCTGGTGCCAACCAGGCTGCCCTTCTCATAGGGGGGATGAATCCCAGACCTTTGCACACTCAGCCCCACACATGGGGGATCCTGAAATCACCAGGTTCCCCTGACATGAGGCTTCCCTGCCACCCCTCTCAGCCTACAGACCGTGTGGCATTTGCTGTCCCTCAGCTTCATCAGAACAATCTACAGTCATGTGTCAACACAGCCACAACCCCTGGCGCCAGCAGACTCCCACCTGACTCCCACCTGACCTCTTCCAGGTCCTCATAACCTCATTAAAACAAAGATGGCCAGTCAAGTCCAAAAGCACCAAGAAGCCATTCTTCCATTCATGCAGGCGTTCTCAATCAATCTCCCTCCCTCCCTCTCTCTCTCTCTCCCTCCCTCTCTCTCTCTCTGTCTCTCTCTCTCTCTCTCTCCCCCC